TGAAAATGTACTAGACTTAGTATATAAAGATATATGGGGCCCATCACCTGTAATGTCTACAAATTGTTTTCGCTATTTTGTATCTTTTGTAGATGATTTTTCACGCTTCTGCTGGTTTTATCCATTACGGGTAAAATCAGACATATATAAAATCTTTGAGCTATTTCGTGTGTTGGTAGAGCGACAGTTCTCGCGCTCTATCAAGTCTATCCAGTCCGATCTAGGGGGTGAATACCGCAAGTTACACACCACTTTCAAAACACTTGGTATAAATCATCGCCAGTCCTGTGACTATACCCATGAACAAAATGGGCGGGTAGAACGTAAAAACAGACACATTGTTGAAATTGGTCTCGCCCTATTAGCTGAAGGCAAAGTTTCCCAACATTGCTGGGATTATGCTTTTGAAACAACTACCTGTTTAATTAATTATTTGCCTTCATCGGCTATAAATTTTGAAATTCCTTACACTCGTCTCTTTAAAACACCACCACCATACACTTTTCTTAGAGTCTTTGGGTGTCGGTGTTTTCCATATCTACGCCCCTACAACAGGCATAAGATAGAATACCGGTCCACACCCTGTGTCTTCCTAGGTTATCCACCTACCTTTAGGGGATACAGATGCATTGATCTGGCAAGTGGGAAAATCTATATCTGTCGTCATGTCCGATTTGACGAGACTGTTTTTCCCTTTTCTACAGGATACATAGCTTCTGAGACACCACCTCCCGCTTTACCTTGGGCTGTTGGTCCTATAGTCTCACTTGCTGCTCCACTGGTGTTGGCACCCAATGAGGCACCATGTCATGCGGAGCCTGAGCCCGTACCACTAGCACGGGAGCCACCTCCACTTGCTATAACTCACACGGCGTCGGCTAAGACTCGCAAGACCAGGGCCGCACCCCAAAGTAGGGACCATGTCATGCGCCTTCGTCATATGACTAATGGCACGGATGAGCACTTTCAAGCCTTAACGGTCAGCACTGACCCAACGTGCTACTCTCAAGCCGTGGGCCACCCGCACTGGCGTGAGGCAATGGATCAGGAGTTCAATGCACTACTCCATAACCATACATGGTGTCTTGTTGCTCCTGAGTCTCACATGAACATCATTGGGTGCAAATGGGTGTTCCGTACCAAACGCAAGTCTGATGGCATTGTGGAGCGTTACAAAGCGCGCTTCGTTGCTAAAGGGTTTAATCAGGTAGCCGGAGAAGATTTCTTTGACACCTTTAGTCCTGTGGTTAAACCTACTACAGTCCGCATGCTGTTCTCTCTTGCTGTGTCCAACCAGTGGACGCTATGCCAGCTAGACGTTCACAATGCGTTCTTGAACGGACACCTGACAGAGACTGTGTATATGAAGCAACCTCCGGGATATGAGGATCTGACCAATTCCGGACACGTGTGTCTTCTTCAGCGTTCACTTTATGGCTTGAAACAGGCTCCACGCGCCTGGTTCAAGCGTCTTCATGATTTTCTGTTGTCTGCAGGTTTCAAGTCCTCCAAAACAGATGTCTCTCTATTTTACTACACGGCTGGGGACTCCCGAGTTTTCTTACTCGTCTATGTCGACGACATTATCATGATGGGAAATGACGCTGCCCTGGTTACCTCTCTACTGCAACGGCTTGCAACAACATTCAAAATCCGAGATCTTGGTGCTCCACACTTCTTCTTGGGTATTGAAACCATTGCAAACGGTGATTGCATTATTTTATCGCAACGGCGTTACATGACTGACCTCTTAGGACGGGCTGGAATGGTTGACTGTAAGCCTCTTGCTACACCAGCAGCTGTTACTAAGTCAGTTGTACCGTCTGATGAGTCGTTTGAGAATCCGACTCAGTATCGTCGTGTGGTCGGCGCTTTGCAATATCTGACTATCACCTGGCCGGATCTTGCGTACTCCGTCAATAGACTATGTCAATTCATGCACTCACCTACTACCGAACACTGGGGGCTTGTCAAACGTGTCCTGCGCTACATTACGGGAACACTCTCACTAGGGTTACGTTTCTCGCCGTCGTCTACTACTCACATACAGGCCTATTCAGACTCTGATTGGGCAGGGTGTCCTATTGACCAGAAGAGTACAAGTGGGTTTACTGTCTACCTGGGGTCTAATCTCATCTCCTGGCTCTCCAAGAAATAGCGCACCGTTGCTCGGTCCTCCACAGAGGCAGAATATAAGGCTCTAGCTGACGTGTCTGCTGAAGTCACTTGGGTTGTTTCTTTGTTACGGGAATTAGGCCTACACTCTGGTGAACCTGCTTCCTTATGGTGTGACAACCTTGGGGCGACTTATCTATGTGCAAATCCGGTTTTCCATGCACGTACTAAACACGTTGAGATCGACTATCACTTCGTTCGTGACAAAGTGGCTTCTGGGGACTTTGTTGTCAACTACATCTCTACTACGAATCAGCTCGTTGACATCTTCACCAAACCGCTTCCAGCGCCTCGGTTTGCTACTCTACGGGACAAGCTCAATATTGTGCTTCACCAACCTTGTGCTTGAGGGGGTGTGTTAGTATTATTATTATTATTGTTATTACTTTTAGGGGGCGTTTGGTTCACGGAATCTTGAATTACCCCAGGTAATAGGATTACCTCCAGGAAGGTAATGTGAGATGTTGGGAATGTAAGATTACCTTGTATGTTTGGTTTAGATGGTGTAATATAATATTACCTTGTTTGGTTCAAGGTTATATTTTAGATTATATGGATCAATTTACAATAATGTCCTCAATAATATATATATATATATATATATATATATATATATATATATATATATATATATATATAATGTGTGTGTATTTATTTATATGTATGAATGTATATCAATGCTTAAATATTTAAAAAAATTAAATATATAAATATACTGTATATTTGATTATATAAACATATATTAATTTTATTATTATTATTATTATTATTATTATTATTATTATTATTATTATTATTATAATATAAGGATTAGTTAACAAGGGCAAAGTTGGAATATTTCAAGGTAATCTAAGATTACCTAAAAAAATGGGGGTAATCACATTACCTTGAAACATTACCGCCGCATCAGCTTTCAGGTAATATAACATTACCAGGTAATCTTATAACTTGAACCAAACAAGGTAATATAACATTACCAGACTAAGATTACCTAGGTAATCTAAGATGACCTGAACCAAACGCCCCCTATGTATATGATTGTAATTGTATGGTGTTAGTTTTAGCCGACCAAGTGTAGCCTAGTTATCAAGAGTAGTTAGAGATTAGTTACAGATATACTTTTGTAATATGAATTCTATCACAACTAAATCATTCAATTCTCTAATCGTTTGTGTGCTTAATGTGCGAGGGTTGTGTACTTAAAATGCATCAGTTTAATGCTTAATGTGAATCCAACCGCACAATCACACGGAAATCCCATCCCGCACCTTATCTCTTATATATATATATATATATATATATATATATATATATATATATATATATATATATATATATATATATAGAGGGTAGAGTTCTAGTGAGAATATGTGCTTATGTGAGAACATGAGAACACATCATGTGTATCAATCTAAGATTTTTTAATGGTATAGATTAGATTAAGTGTGTGCGAACGCACATTAAATGTGTGCAAACACACTTAATCGCGTTTGCACACATTTAATGCGCGTTCGCACACACTTTATCTACTTTAGACCATTAAAAAATATTAGATGGATGCACACGATTTGTTCTCACATTCTCACCTAAGCAGGTGTTCTCATATGATCTTAAAAATCTCTCTCTCTCTCTCTCTCTATATATATATATATATATATATATATATATATATATATATATATATATATATATATGTATGTATGTATAGAATTACACTCTGGTGCGAATGGAGCGCCCAGGTGCGAATATGCGAATGCCTGATATCCGTCCACGTGTCCAGATCTAATGGATGAGAAACACTGATTTTTTTTTAAAAACGCGGTGCCATTTTCGTAAATAATTGAACATCAAAGTGCAAGTAAAATGTATTACAAGTTCATGTAAAATTTATTATAGGTGCAAGTAAAATTTACACTAAGCATCAATACTAAGTGCACCTATAGTTATAAGTAGTTGCACCTATAGTTATAAGTAGTTGCACCTAGGTGCATGAATGTTTGCGGGTGATTTTACGGGTACTACTACCCGCAAGAACAAAAACGATGCCAAATAGAACGAGCTCATCAATGAATGTTAACAAAGCAAAATTACATGCACTTGCAGGCGAAAGTAGGTGCACTTGTAGGTGAAAGTAGGTGCATCCGATCAATGAATGCAGGTAAAAACTACATGCACTTGTAGGCGGAAGTAGGTGCACTTGTAGGTAAAAGTAGGTGCACCCGATCAAACAAACAATCGTTATGCCATGGAACCGTGTTCATAAGGATGGTGAACACGGTCCCAAACAGTAACGGTACCCGTAAGTGGCACCGTTATCTTCTATCAATTTTTTTTTTTAAAAAAATAATTAACAGCGTGACTTTTCTTCTTCATTTTCACATTTCGCGGTTTCACTTCCTCTTTGCGCAAATTTTTTCAACACTCATAAATTATGAATGTGCAGGCATGAATTTATGAATGTGCAGTTATGAAATTATGAATTTTCTGTTATGAGATTATGAATTTTCTGTTATGTGATTATGAATTTACAAAAAATTCATAATTATATAACTGTAAATTCATAATCTCATAATAGAAAATGCATAATTTAATAAATGTAAATTCATAATCTGAACATAGAATGCAAAACTCCGTTAACATTAACTATTTTTTTTTCGTAAAAACGACGCTGTTTTAAAACGTGTTCACAAAGCATGGTAAACACGTTTCCACGGCATAATTCAACAAAAAATGTCCAATTGGTTTTTCACAAAAAAAAAAAAAAAAAAAAAAAAAAAGTACAATTGGGTTTGCTACGACAAAAAAGCCCAATATGGCCACTTCATAGTCGGAAATGAAAAACCACAGCTAAAACAAATCTCACCATCTTCTTCCGCTTGTCACCGTAGAAGGCGGCAGCTTCAGAAAGTACTCCCACTACCTCAGCTATCTTTCACGTGTTTATGAACTTGTATTTTCAGAATACAAGTCGTATTCCTTTGTTCTTATTAGTAGCTAATTAGTTATCCATGGCGTTTGTGGTTAAACTGCCGGCAAATATCCAAGGACTTTGTGACTGCAATTTTACCAATACGAGCAAGAGAGCTAGATATAGCCTTATCAAAAGGCAAAAGTCTCTGGTTAAAATGTGTTCATCGAATTCCGGTGTGCCAGTCCAGCTCCTCGAGCATACGCCGTCGTTTAAATCCCAGAACAATGCGCTCCCGATAATGGTAACTCTTAGTACTTTTAATTTCTCTGTGAATCTTGTTTGTGTGTGTATTTGTTTGATGAGTTTTTACAATTAGCATATATAGTTTTCTGGAGCATATGTACTAGTGAATATAAACTAAACTTCAGAATTGGTTTTGAAAATCTTTTTATTTAATGTGTTATTATGATTTATTGAAGAATGAAGATGCTTCTATGTGATACTATCAGCTGCTTGGTAAAATAAATATAGTAGACCACAATTTTGTGATTCTTTTTCCTATCAGCAATGGCTGAGCTCTACTATTATCTTAAATTTTTATTAATGCTTTAATTGTGATTTGGTCTTCCACTATTTTCCTATTGCCTGCCAAATGCTTCTTTGTTTCAATTTTGTTTTCGGATTTTTACCTTCTTTCACATGTAAGATGATGAGATGTAGTTAACTTTTAGTTTGATTGTATGCTTCCATTTTGTTCCATCATCTGTTTAGGTGAATGGTTGTACTGGAAAAATGGGAAGGGCAGTTCTTGAAGCTGCCATTTCTGCAGGTCTTCTGCCTGTCCCTGTGGCTTTTAGTGGTCCAGAAGATTCAGGAAAGATAGTAGACGTAGGGGGGAAGCAGATTACAGTTCACGGTCCTTCTGACAGAGAGAGCACTCTGTCCTCAATCTTTGAGGAGCATCCAGATTTAATTGTGGTGGATTACACAGTTCCTGCTGCTGTGAATGGTAAGTTATTGAAATTGATCAATATGGTATTTTGTAGATCATTTAGAAACTTGGATAAGAGAATGGATGTTCTGGTTTTGATGCTTTTGTTAGATATAGAATAATCTAACTATACTGAACAATAGTATACGAGAAATCTGACCTCGTATAAGGGCGGAAGCGTAGCCGTGTTGATCTCAGCCACAGTTGATGTTCCTGTTGTGTTGCCTCTTAACGGTAGACCATTAGCCATTATTTGCCTCATACCTGACCCAGAACCCTAAATGGTGTATTGGTGTCTAATATGCAATATATATTATTAGGGAAAATCTTACAGCTTTATCATGGGATACATGTAACTCATGTGCCATGCATTTACTGAACATCATATTTATAGAAATTGTTTTCTCATGTATCCTTTTTTCAGCCCTTTTATTTCATTTAGTAATTGTGGAAGCTGTGTTAATGACCTTAACCAGAAAATAGTCGTTATTCCTGCAACGTGGACAGTGTTGCTTTGGATTTTCTATTTGATGTTTTTGGTTGCTTCATTCCACATACAGATAATGCAGAGCTGTATTGCAAAGTTGGAGTTCCTTTTGTGATGGGAACTACTGGGGGAGACAGGGATAGATTATATAAGACGGTAACAGACTCTAATAACTATGCTGTCATCTCCCCGCAAATGGGAAAGCAGGTATTGACACTTTTTGCATTTTAAAGTTGTCTACATTTGACATTCTTTTGTCTATACATTTAAGTTTCTATAACCTTCTTGGTTATCTCTAGGTTGTTGCATTTCTTGCTGCTATGGAAATAATGGCAGAGAAATTTCCAGGTGCTTTCTCTGGGTATCAACTACAGGTATCTTCATTGTTTTGTCTGTGAATCATTAGTAACGTTCTTTTCTGTTCCTAGCCCAGTGAATATCCTAAGATGAGGTATTTTAAACAGATTGCGATCATGTTGTTCACTTAAGGATGAACCAACCTTTTAAACCCTCACGGCTAAATAGATATTAATTTCCTGTCTATGTCATTTGCTTTTTATTTTAATTTATTAAAAGGTCGAGACCTACAATTGAAAGTAGCATGTGTTTGGAAAGATATCAATTTGCAATGAAAGTGCAACATTTACTCCATGCAAGAAACCGCAAATGTACTTAACAACTTGGACTGAATTGCCTTGGAACGCATCCTAAATAAATTTGAGTTCTTTCATGATATAGTACTCTGTTTAGTGAAAACCTTTTGTTTTATGAACCATGCATTTGCTCACAACCTTGTCACCTTTTATTATCTTATTTATTATTAATGTTTGCTTGGTTGCTAAACTATTATACTTGGCAAATTTCTTATTTTCCTTTGAGACTCAAATATTTATTGAGTTAATTACTTTATTTGAAATATTATGTGATTTAGAGTTTTGATTGTCCCCTCCTATAAATTGTTAAGGTGATGGAGTCTCATCAAGCTAGCAAATTGGACCTATCTGGAACTGCCAAGGCTGTCATCTCATGTTTTCAGAGATTAGGGGTCTCCTATGACTTAGATAAGGTTAGTCTAAAGAATTTCTGGTGTGCAATGGGATTGTGGACTCCCAATTTCATTTCTTTACCACTCTACTAGCAACTAAAAATCTTAAATATTGGATTCAAAATAGATATGGTTTCCAAATCCCAAATCTCTCTGGTAAATATACTTGTAACTGGGTCTTATGACATTTGGGTTAGATAGCTTATTTTATAATTTTATTAAGATCTAGACTTCTAAAAGCTTGTGTCACTGGCTATTTGAGTCAATATACTTTTCATATCCTATATTTATTTATTTTTCCCATAATAATCTGTTTAATGGGCTTTACCTCATCCTCACTTAATAGCTGCAACATGACTTGCAAGTTTTTATTATTTAGTAGCATCCAAATAAGTCCTCATAGCCATCTACCTTATTTGGGATGTAACATTATGTTGTCTATTTTGAACTAGTAATTTTATGTTGGGTATCAAGCAGTGGACTCTTAGTTGTTAGAACTACTAGTGTACTATTCAAGAAATTTGAGTTATAAAAATGAGGAAAAGGAATGTGTAAAAGTGAAAAGTCTATTGGAATTACATCATATATGCAATTGCAATTTGTCTTATTGGTTGGTACCCATAAAATTGTTTTCATTTATTGATTAACTTACCAATAATAATGTATTGTAGTTGTTTTGTGAACCATTTAATAGGTAAAACAAATACGTGACCCCAGGCAACAACTTGAGATGGTGGGTGTCCCAAAAGAACACTTAACTGGTCATGCTTTCCACCTGTATCATCTGACCTCACCTGATGACACGTAATACATCATCACAGAGCTTCAACCTCTACTAATCTTTTTCTGTTTCTTTTATGAATAATTTTCACCCACCCCTCCTCCCCCAGCCTGTGCCTCTAACTTCGTTGAACCCCCTTGCTCTTTCGTAGGGTCTCTTTTGAATTTCAGCACAATGTTTGTGGAAGATCAATATATGCAGAGGGTACTGTTGATGCCGTCCTCTTCCTTGCAAAGAAGGTAGTAGCCCTTCCATCTTGGTTTTGAATTGTTAATCAGCACTTGCTTGTATTGGCTCTCTGCCAATACTTTCTTTCACTTTAAACCCTTACATGTCACACAACAATTATAAGCTATTAAAGTGCATAGTTTAGGCACTGTTGCAAAAATCGGTCTAGGCGCCTAGGTGGCCCCTAGACTGTGACGATTTTTCCCCTAGGCGACCGGCCACCCAGGTGCCTAACTCGGCTGACTCGACCGCCTAGGCAGCTGCTTAGCGCCTAACTCAGCCGAGTTAGCTTGTCCATTTCGGTCGAGTTAGCCGAGTTAACCCGGTCGGTTCGATCTTGGTAATTTTTTCATTATATATATATATATGTAAATAATATGTATATACTACCCGACTAACGCCTACTGCAATCATGAGTTTCAAATTATTCTTTTTGGGTGACGAGGAAAACCCACAACCACTATCCAAAGGTGTGCACGGGGTAAACCCCGGCTTGTGACCTTAGCCGACAAAGGACCACAGGGAGGTAAACCAGCCTAGGTTGTCCATAGCTGACCAGCTCAAACCAAGAGGGTTGGGATTCGAACTCGTGATCTTGTGGTTACAAATTTGTAGCCTTAGCCATTTTGGCTGGGGTTACCCCTTTTATAACAAATTATTTTTCTGCCAGCTACTGATCAACAATCATCTAACTATAGATATGAAACTTGTTAATGATACAGGTCAAAGCTAAAGCTGACAAGCGGATTTATGACATGATTGATGTTCTGCAGGAAGGCAATATGAGATGAGTTTCAAGTTAGACCCCTTCTCATTCTCATTCTCATTCTTTATTCTTGAGCACTCCAATGTTCTATATTCAGCTAACTCCAGATACGGAACTTGTGTTGATTGCAGGTCCAAATCTAAAGCAAACGGCTGCCCTTGATAGGGTCCTAATGTCCTATGGCATTTTGCATTTTGTAGGCAAAGTGCTAACAAATATTTATGAGAGGACATACTGCTTATGCTAATATTTAATAAAACTGAACATTATAATATTCTGTAGAATGTTGTATGGTAAGAGCACTCAAAGGATTTGCACGTTTTGTTCTTACTATGCTCCTCGTGTTGTCTCACCATCTTTTCTTTGTAGTTTCTTAAGGCATCCACAACCTTCTCCCCTATTTTGCCCATTTTGTTGGCCCAACTTTTTTACATCAGAATCTAATTTTCTTTTTCTTATTTTCTTTTCAATTCTTCTTCCCTTTTCTTCTCATTTTGTGGGCCTTCTCCATATTATTTACTCCGTATTACTTTATTCACTTTACTATAACTAGTATTTTTACCTGTGCATTGCACGGAATAGATTTGTTATAATCTTTAAGAATATTTTGATGAATATACAAATATAAATTATAACAACGAATATTATATAGTGCAATTGATGAAATAAGTTTTATCAGTTATGTTTTTTTATGTTATCCAATTGCTCAATTATCCGTACAGTGCGTGTGCAATGCACGTGCGAACTTTGAAAATTTTAAAAAATGAAAATGTTTACAAGGGTGTGTTTGGTACCAACATTGGAATTGAAATGGTAATGAGAATCAACTACTTGGTTATGGTAATGAGTTTAAGAAAGATGAGTCACTTTGTTTGATAATAAATAGGAATTAGAATCAAAATAAGTAAATAATTAACATATTGTGATTTACCAGGAGCTATATTGCCAAAAGAACCAGCAACTATTGAAATTGTGTTGGGCTGTCCATGCTTGTTCAACATTCTGGCTAGGTCAAAATCTGCAATTTTGGCATTGAACTCAGAATCTAAAAGTATATTGCTAGATTTCACATCTCTATGAACAATGGGTGGCGAGCAGTTGTGATACATATAGTAGAGACCCTTAGCAGTTTCAATCGCGATACGCATCCTTTTAGGCCAATCAAGGATTAATTGTCTTTGAAATGAACCCGAATTGCCAGCTGATCTTCTTTTCGAGTGAAGCCATAGATCCATGCTGTGATTTTCCATGTATTTGTATACAAGTAGCTTTGATTCTTCACTTGAGATGCAGCAAAGGAGCTTCACTATGTTGGTGTGGTGAATCATGCCCATTGTCTCAACTTCTGCTATAAATTCCTTCTCAAGCTTCTCGTCCGACTTTTGGTTGTTCCAAATCCTCTTCACGACAACTTTTTCTTTAGAGGACTGACCTAATGGCACCACATACACTTTCCCTGACCCCCCAATACCAACCACATTGTATTATGCTAAATTTGGTAAAATGTTTGATTCTGTGAAGCTTAAGGGGTGAAATGCTTTGAGCTTCCAATTTGTAACCACTCTTTTCTTCCTTTTTCTGTTACTTCTGAATGAATACCATATATATAGAATGGCCACTAGAAGTAAGATTGCTCCTATAGTTCCAAGAATAATAACAATAACTTTCACTGAAACTTCACCCGAACTTTTATTGTTTGACTTACAATCCCTGAGGTGTAATGAGGGGGTATCAGCACAAAGACGGGGATTATTCCAGAAGCTCTTGTTAAAAGCTGCAACTTCTAGTTCATATGGGATTTTACCTGAAAGGCGATTTGAGGACAGATTGAGTGCGAATAGCCTTAAATGTCCTATTTCAAATGAGATTTCTCCAGAGAGTTGATTTCCAGACAGGTCTAACCGAATAAGGTTTGGTAAAAGGCCAAGTTCTGGAGGGATATTGCCAAAAAGCTGATTTCTGCTGCAATTTAATTGTGTCCAATGACTTCCAAGAGGTACTATTTGATAGAAAATTTCCAGAAAGGCGATTCCCATCTAGCAAAAGAGTTGATAAAAATCGAAGAGCTGTGAGTTGTTGAGGGATGTTACCAGTAAAAAAAGATTATTGCTTACCTTGAAGACCCCAAGATTGCTCCAAGAATAAATCCCAGTTGGAATTTCACCTGAAAACCTATTGTTGCTGATATCAACCAGAGATAAATTTGATGCCACCTTCTGTGGAAGCTGACCAGAGAAATGGTTATTGTTCATCAACAACCTCTTCAAATTCCTTGCTGTCCATAAACTTTCAGGAATTATTCCAGAAAGATTGTTGATTGTGCACTGGAAGGTAAAAGTTTTGAACTCAAAGTTACCCGTGCGATGGGCGTGCAATGCGCGTGCAATTCATGAATAAACAATTTTATTGTATAGTATTTTCAATAAGATGGATTTGAAACTAAGCACTGATTCGCGTCGCCCTAGATGCGGCCCGAGGGATTGAGTACCTCCACGAGTATGTTGTGCCACAAGTCATCCATCGTGACATCAAGTCGTCCAACATATTGCTGGACACTACTTGGACCGCCAAGGTGTCCGATTTCGGGTTGTCCTTAGTGGGACCCCAAGATGATGAGTCTCACCTCTCATTACGAGCAGCTGGTACGATGGGGTACATGGATCTAGAGTATTACAGGTTGCAACTATTAACGACCAAGAGCGATGTGTACAGTTTCGGAGTAGTACTCCTCAAGCTGCTATCGGGACACAAAGACATTCATAAAAATGAAAACGGGGTGCCAAGGAATGTGGTCGATTATGTTGTTCCGTACATAGTTCAAGATAATATTGCTAGGGTTTTAGACCCTAGAGTTTCTCCTCCGACAGCATTCGAGATTGATGCAATTGCCTACGTAGGTTACCTAGACGTAGATTGTGTCATACAAAATGGTCGAGATCGCCCGACAATGACAAAAATGGTAAATAACTTGGAAAGAGCCTTAACCGTATGTTTAGCCTCTCCAGTGTTTTCTCGGTCCAACACTGACCTCAACATAGTAATTACATTTGTCTTTTTTTTTTTTTTTTTTTTTTTTTTTTTTTTTTTCTTTCATTATTTCTCTTTGGAATAGTACACTGTGCATAGCATACCCCATTTTTAATTTTAACTTTACTTCTCAAATATAATACAATAACAATTCCAAATTTGACCCACAAAACTTCTTTGATATTTTACTTTCAAAACTATTATATATTTAATTTAGAATATCTATCCAAAGTTTCTCGTGCGATGCGCGTGTGATTCACGGATAAATTTTTTTTATTGAATAGTATTTTTAATCAGATGGATTTGAAGCTAAGCACTGATTTGCACTTGTAAATAATATTAAAATAAAGGCTGTTGGGTGCTAATGGCTAACCAAAATTAAGGATGAGGAGTGTGAGGATGCAGAGGCTAATTTGGGTTGATATGGACATTATGTTTTTGGGTTTGAGATTTTCTTGAAGTGAGGATATTTATTCTTCTAATGGTGACAAAGAATTGAACTCACGTAATTTGTAAAACAATTACAAATTCTAACCACTATGCAATGCAATCAATTTATTAATATATTTATTATTATATTTGATATTAATATTAATATTAATATTGTAAAATTCTCTTAGAATATATATATATATATATATATATATATATATATATAGAGAGAGAGAGAGAGAGAGAGAGAGAGTAAATACCCAAAATGGTTCCTCGACTATAGCTAAATTCACAAATTGGTCCTCGACTTTCAATTTCAACCAATTAAGTCCTTAACTTTGTAATTTTAACACAATTTGGTCCTCTGTTTATTTGACCCTTTGTTGACTGTGATTTTTGAGGATATATATGTAATTTCATGGTCCACCGTCGGTTTTTTAAGGTTCTGGTTGCATTTCCAGACCGCACGGTTACATTTGAATCCGCTGTCGAAAGCAATCTACCAAATCCGGTCGCCTTTCTTCATCCTCCATTTGGATTCAATGTAGTTGAGTTCGTACCAGAGCGAAAAAGATGACGTGTTTCCAAGCCAGTGCAACGTCATCCTGGAGGCCTCCACGTGCTCCGACAAGAGCTGAAGGTTCTTCTGGAGATCGTCGATCACAGTCAACAAACGGTCAAATAGATGGAGGACTAAATCGTGTCAAAATTACAAAGTTAAGGACTTAATTGGTTGAAATTGAAAGTCGAGGACCAATTTGTGTATTTAGCTATAGTCGAGGGACTATTTTGGGTATTTACTCATATATATATATATATATATATATATATATATATATATATATATATATATATATATATATATATATATATATATATATATGGAAGGGATCATGTGTATTTGTGGCTTCCCGTGCGGTTGTGCGGTTGATTAGTGTACGTGAGTTTTATACTCAATGTGCGTGAGTCTTGTTCTTAATGTGCCTGAGATTTGTACTTAATGTGCGTGAGTTTTGTACTTAATGTGTCTGAGTATTGTGCTTAATGTGCGTGACTTTTAACACAATCTCACAGGAAGCTATAAACAAAATACATTCAGACCACAACCTCACACACATTAAACACAAAAGTCATACGAAGACGAAGACGTATATGATGAAGAACAGAGAGAGGGGAAGAGATGATTAAGGGAATAGGAAGAGAAGACGAAGACGTAGACGAAGATGTATATGATGAAGAATAGAGAGAGGGGAAGAGAGGATTAAGGGAATAGGAAGAGAAGACGAAGACGTATATGAAGAAGAACAGAGAGAGGAAGAGAGGATTAAGGGAAAATAGAGGAAGAGAAGACGAAGACGAAGACGTATATGTACAAGAGCACATTAACATTACACACTCACGCACATTAAGTACAAATCTCAGGCACATTAAACACAAGACTCAGGCACATTAAGTACAAAGCTCAGGCACATCAATCCCAACTAGAAACGAGATCGAAGAGGCTTGATTCAAGCCCGAGCTCGTGTGCGCCGGCACTTGCGGGCTAAGTGGCCAAGACCTTTGGATCCGTTTTATATATATCAAATAATATTCCAACTAGAAACGAGATCGAAGAGGCTTGATTCAAGCCCGAGCTCGTGCTCGTGTGCGCGGGCACGAATGTCGTCCGGAAATTAGCGGGCTAAGTTATGCCAACTGCAGTCACTTGGGTTCGGCCAAGACCTTTGGATTCGTTTTATATATATCAAATAATATTTTATATACTTGTGTGTGTATATATAAATATTATTTTGCGATATAAAATCGATTTTGGTTCATTATCACCAACACAAAGCTCAGACACATTAAGCACAAGACTCACGCACATTAAGTACAAAGCTCACGCACATTAATCAACCGCACAACTGCACAGAAAGCACCCAATCGCAC